ACTGTTTCAAAAGCAAGAGCACAGACCTACTTCAGCCCTTTCCAAATTCGGGGGACCAACTCTCATGGACGAATTGCGACAGCAGGGGACTGGCTCAGTAAACTGGAGCCGCTCCGTCTTAGTCCCAAGTTTCAAGCGAGGCTCACGTTTGGAATGCGCTAGTCATAGAGGAATTCGTCTGATCCTAATTGTTTCTTAATTGTTTGCGTCTGTCGTTCTCCATAAACTGGCTGGCACTTAGGGAAGCCAGATCCGTGAGGAGTAAGTTGGGTCTAATCGAAATCGAGGCTGCATTAACTACATACTTATCCTACACCAGTTGTTGAAAGACCGCCATGTCTCTCGATATCATAGATGTCTTCGACTCGGTGGGTCGGTGTCCTTTGGGGACCGTCTGCAAAGGTGTGCTCGGAAAATACGTCTGTATTATTTGAGCATGGAACGTAAGAAAGGCATCATCAGTACGCCGGTACGCAGTACTGACACTTCGCTGCCGCGCAATCACACCAGTGGCACGTGGGCTAAGGACATTGCGAGGGTCGCCCAGTGCCTACGCAGGCTCGAACCCGTGATGGACGTGCACAGTTAGGGCAGTGAGGGTTTACAGCAAACTGCCGCCGCCCAGCAGTGAGAGACAAGATAGCCCACTGTCAACTTTCGTCCTTAACTTCGCCACTGACGAAGTCACGGAGCTGCTTCCTGGTGAGCTACTCCTCGACTTGGAGTATGCTGATGACATTGCCCTAATCGGTGACAGGTCACAAGCGTGCCAAGTAGCACCGGACAGAGGAGCACTAGCTGTCAGTCGTTTCTTGCTGTTTTGCACCCTAGAGATGGTCTTTCTCAAAATTGAGAGGGACACACTCCTGCGCCGACCCTTAGTGTTGAAGTCAGAAGTGGTGCATAAAGTCAAGTTTCTGGCGGCTATATTAGCGCCCTAGAATCGAAGACGAGGTCACGAAACGCATAGCAAAAGCTCGATCTGCTTCTGCCAATCTCCGCCAGCTGTGGCGCCGACGTGACATCTCTCACCATGAAGGGCAGTTTACAATGCAGTCGTCCGCTCAACCCTCTGTATGGTTGCGAAACTTTGCCCGTCAAATCAACTACAATACATCATTCATATGAACTGATGCTTCGTTGCCAAACACAATGACCAGCGGAACGAAGAATAATGAGGGATGTGGTATTGACCTTAATGCCCTAAGTAAACATTCAGGGTAAATGCATCTACACCTTGTCAACAACATACTGTCACAAACAGCTGGCTATCGTGCAAACATAAGGCGGCATCAGTAAGACAGCCACCTAGCGGATTTCACTGCCCCGTGTCATTATAATCAGCCATTGCTCAGCAGATAACTCAGAAGCAAACATTTTAAACAGGCAGTCCGACTAGGAGACAGTAGATGCGCCACTGGTATCGACTGCCAGCGATGTTCTTCAACATCTCAAGACAAGTACAAGGCGGGTCAAGTGGACTCTAGCCTAGAAGGCGAGACGGATCGAAGGCTCCTAGTTTGGTCGTCAGTGACTTTATTTCCCGTTGCCAAGTAAGCGTCTGCTCATTTCGAGTCGTGCGCCACGCCACATCAGGCAAACAAAACAAGACTCTCCTCGGTGAGCAGTGACCAAGAATACGTAATACGGGACTAAGCCAACGCAGTGTTCAGTGCTATATGCTGTTCTAAGAAACTAGCTTGAGTATCACTAACGTTTGCCTACGCACATCAACGTTGCGGACACGCTAGTGCCATCTGACAGCAGCAATATTCCGCAGACAGCGATGATCAAAGACTTGAAGGCGTCTGATCTGCGGATCGAAGGGACCAAGTCGCACTCCTATAGAGTGGGTCCCCACTGTGGCCCTGTAAAAACGGCCTTTCAGATCAAGGGAAACTTTTTCTGATATCACAAATGTCGCAGATTTAAGAAGGCAGCTCTGGCTTTCTCAATTCGTGAACTAACTTCAGTTACTATGCACCCATCGTTGCTGATTCAGCTGCAGAGGTAAGTGGATGGAGCACCTACCACGAGTCCCTCGCTGTGGATGGTCAAGTTATGCGACATGTTGCACATCGAAGACGTGAAGCGCACACCAATTAAGGGGACAACTCTTGGGGTTATCCAGGGCTGATTGTGCCTCCCTAACATCATTAAAAATTATGGCGATATCGTTTGCATAATCGAGTAACTAGCCTTATACCAAGTAGTACGTAAGGTTTAAAAGCGCAACAAGGCTCCGCAAGGGAACATTCTATGATAGTCCATCACGAAAGTGAACAAAAATTGGGGAAATTGGACAACAATGACGAACGCCACTTGTTGTTCGAAAGATATAAGAGAAGTCACTGTGGACTCCGACGCGGTGTCGTTTCCGAATACAAAACAGCAGAATGTGCACATTTCATCGGAAAAGCTTTCCGCAAAAGCATGCCGAATGGAATGCATTTATCGACTGAGTCGGGATTACTCTTGAAGTCGAGGAACACGGGTACTGTCGGTTTTTGGCATGTGCATCGCTGCTTCAGCACCTGTCACACAGAAAATATGTGCCCAATGCAGCCCCGTCCTGACCGCAAACCTGCCTACTCTTCTCTAATCCGGGATACCCGTTCTGTAGTGAGGCGACCAACGAGAATTGAAGACATTTATGTTGTTAGGCTAATACCTCTTATATATTGCCAATATATTCGACTCACTTCAGTTTGTCGGGACGGTCTCTTCCCCTCAGTTCGAATAGGGAGCTCAGTGCTTTGCAGAGGATCTCAGCTTCATCCTTAAATAGTGCAGGTGGGAGGAAACCCGTGTCATCATGAAAACGATTGACGGCTGTGATCGCGTTTAGGACCTCAGCCTCCGGTGGAGTCTACGTTAACCGGTGATGGCTCAGCCTGCATTAGCTGAGTAAGAGGTCCGAAAGCAGGATGTCTTCTGAAAGTATATTGAAGTATGACGCCGTTATATGCGGTGTAACGGCTGATTATGATGTGGGGAAGTGAAAGCCGCAATGAGGCTGTCTAGCCGATGCCGCCTTATCTTGGCACGATAGCCAGCTTTGTGATTGTATACTGTTGACAAGGTGTAGGCGCTTTGACCCCGAGTGTTTGTTTAAGGCGTTAGATTTTCCGATAAGCCCCCATCTTTTCAACTTATTGTTCTCCGTTCCGTAGGTGAACTTGGTTGTACAGCAGCGAAGCACCAGTAGGGATAGATGATATACCGCAGTTGATGATGAACTAATCTCAAAATTGCTGTACCCGAGCCGTACGCCGCTCCTTACGGAGTCAGTGCGCCCGCGCTGTCTCTGAATGTTCCATCGAGGTCTGGTTATTTTAGACCAGTGGTGTAGATCAGTTGGAAGAGTTTGCGATAATAGCCTTCTATCGCCTCATCCATTTCTTGGGCCCTACTAGTCCACCAGGCTTCGTTGTCAGCACGCAGGCTCCGCTTTCGTTCGCGCCCAATAGTCCGCCTGGTCGGGAATTTCCTTCTGGATTACAACAGGTTCACCTAACTCCTAGATATCCAGTGATTAGTGCGGTGACGATTAACAGTGCAGTAAGTGGAGACTTCTTCACGGTGATTGACGATGGGGATCCTATTCCACCGAAGCTCAGTATTATGGAGACAAGAGGGAAAGTTCGGTACGCTGGTAGACTTTTCTGACCGAGGGCTGAGATAACTTCCCAGTTGTTAATCGAAGGAGACGCTTGGTATGCCTCCTAGGGAAGTTCATGGGAAACCGATATAGTGCCACGGTACGGTAAGAGTCGACAAATGCTTCAGAATTAGCAGCAATCCAAGATGGAACCACGCTACCTGTAACTTATGGCAGTGATCTAGCTGGTCTGACTAAGTTCGATTACCCCTGCCTTCGCAGCATGGCTTAAATCTGGTGGGAAAGGCGCGTGAGCAATGAGCGTGTTCGGAGTCGTGTATATGGTGCAGGCAGACCGAGAAAACCAGTCAGCACCGTTAAGGTAAGCACCAAGTTCTGATGACTGAGCATCAGCAGTACGCCGATAGGCAGTACCGACGCTTCGCTGCCGCGCAACCAACAGTTGCACGTGGGCTAGTTATTGCGAGGGACGCCCTGTTCCTACGCAGGCTCGAACCCACGCCGTCAGGTTACAAGGCAAGCTTGTTACCTATGTGCTACGGGCCAGCACAGACTCACGCATCGTGCGTTTGCGCTACGTGGATCTGGAAGGGAGAGAAACGAGGCATGGTCAAGAGGAATGAAAACCCTTACTTCGAAGAGGGTGTCACTCGATTAACGGGCTGTGGTCCGAAAGACGAACACGACTCCAACAGAGCATGTTGTTTCTGTATACCCCCCTCACATCTCTAGCTGCCGCTTCCGACTACCATCACACGCAACGCATACTGGGATATTAAGCACTACATTACTTGTCTTCGGTAGTCTGTCATGGTTAATACCTTATTCGTACTGCGGCACATCGCCGGCACGTAGCCTAAAGGTAACGAGTTTATCCTGTAATCTGACGACGCGGGTTCGGGCCTACGTAGGTGCAAGGCGACCCTCGCAGTATCAGCCCGCGTGCGACCAGCGGTAGCTGAGCGGCAGCAAAGCGTTGGTACTGCGCACCGGCGTACTGCTGATGCTCTCACATCAGCTAACGTGTATTGATGAGAATAAGGGTAAGCCTAAGTGCTTAAAATTGTCAGCGGCCGAATGGCTTAGGTTTTTATGTATTCCAAAGGTATTTGACTCGAGTCAATGTAGTCCAAATGACCTCGCATCCTAGACCGCATGCGATGTGGTTGCGTAGCAGCGAAGGGTAGGTGAAACGTGGCGGCGTGTTGCAGATGCTTTTGCAGCCACGTAAGCGCCTTGATTGTGCTTGTAACGGAAAGAACTCCAAAGCATAAACAAGGAAAATGAGAAACTTCTACAGATTCGCACGAAGAAAACAAAAGTAACAATCTGAGTTTCGCCAAAGGAGATTTAGAAACAGGAAACAGCTCGTACTCACCGAGAGATGTTTTTTGGCCAGGTTTAGCATTGAACAGAACCACGCGCGGTGGACAAGATGAGCCAGATTCACTGAACACTCGACATATGTCCTCGGGGGAAAAGTTGAGGGGAGCGTTGAAGAAGTGCAATGTACGAGACGGCTCCAGTATACGACTTTTCGCAGCGACAACTGCATTTCGGAAGCGATTATTCGGATCCACTAAGGATTGCAAAACAGCACAAAGTTGTCTTAGGGAACAAGTAAATCTTAATGTGTGAAAGTAGAGTAGCGTTGAGCTCTTTCGAGGCACTTCCTATTGATTTGTAAATGGGATAGATATGACCTCTAGTTTAAAGACTTGTTTAAAGACTAGTTTAAAGACTTGAATCGTCATTGGGTAAGCCAAATCAAATCAAGGTGACGAACTCAATAAGCCCCTATGGCCCTAAGACGGGGTTAGTTCTAGATTCATGGATATAACAAATTAATAGACAAAAACGAGGAAGCCGATAGCCCTTCAAGACAAAAGCGATTTGCTTTTGGATGGATAACTTACTCATATAATTTTTCATGACCGGAGACCCATCATCAAGAGTCCCGAGATTTTCATGCTCTGTGAGCTCCCTTTGTTTGCTATGGTAGAATTGAATGACGTGGCCGAAAATAGAAACACCGTTGTAATAACGATGGATGAAGTCGGCGGTCTCAGCGTTACCAACCTGGATCATTGCGCAGCCACGGCGGGTCTTCAAAAATTTGATGCGAGCGACATTTCCATAGAGACAGATGAGGTTGAACAAGTGGTCGCAGTTCAACGTTGGTGGTAGATTGCACGCCATTAGAACGACACCTTCCACAGACTCGAAAAGAGATAAGTCAGACTGGCGGGCTGTCACAGAGCTGGCGTTCAGGTTAGATGTAGCATGACCAACGCCGATACCTCCAGGCGTTACTTGATGGACCGGGGGTGGTGTGGGAAGGATAGAGACTTGCGTCGGTTTTTGAGTGTAATTTTGCGTCGTAGAGCGCACAACTGGTAAAGAAGGAGTGGTTGCAGTCGTTGTAGCGTAATATGCGGGATACTGGGCAGGAGTGCTGTACGGATGACCCGGGGGAATGGGATACATGGGCGGAGGAGGAGCATAAGACGGCATCTGACAGTAAGGCGACGGTTGTTGCATCGGATAAGGCATCATCGGTGGGATGGGAACAGCCGGAGCGTAGGCGGGGACAGGAGCCGGTGGAGGGACAGGAGGCGCGAGAACAGGATTGGGTACTGGTAATGCTGGTTGCACCACAACAGGCGGGGCAACCGGGCCCAACAACGTTCGCTGGCCAGGTACACTACCCAATGGGCCTTCAAGATTTGCAGTGGCACCTGTAAAATCCCATGATTCTGTATCGTTCTTAGTTACATGGACTTTCTGCAGCTTGGAGAAGGACACAGTAAGGCTGCAACAGCCTGAGTATATGTCTGCACCGTCCAAGTGTTCTTTCGCTTTTTTTGCCTCATCAACTGATTCGAACTCAACCAAAGCCTCCAAAGATCGATCGACATTCTTCTTGCCAATGAAGATACGCAGAAGTTTGCCGTGGGGTTGAGCGATCGCTTTGATAACATCGACGGTTATCGGGTAATCCGCGGAAGCGACGTCGAGGTGCAACACGCGGGACGGCTCGGCGATACTGTTCACCGATCGCTGGGGTTCACGTTTGCTGCTGTTTGAACTTGATGGCGGCACCGTCTCGGAAGAGAACTCGAGGCGAACGCGGTTGGGACCTACACAGAATGGGTTGATCTTCGCCATGTGAACCAGACGCGTTGGAGATGAAATTTCAAAGTATTCGACAAGGGCCGCCTCACCATTGCACACCAACTTCACATTTTTAACTTGACCGTAACGGTTGAATAGAGCCATTAAATCATGTTCGGAACAACCCGGAGGTAGATCTGCCACTACAATTGTGCAACTGGGCTGCGAACTGATTAAGTAAGAAATGTCAGTTGGCAACTTCAGGTTGCTTGGAACAGTTCCTGTAGTGTTATAGAACTGGGCAGTAGCGGCAGCAAGTGCATCATACCGCCCTCTTTTCACTGGGTTGCTCATGGATATGCGTCGCAGCAACAACTCACGACGATCAACAGAACCCGAAACAACTAGTGATTAAAACAAGACGCTATCAAATAGCACATCGCCCGCCTACGTGTATGATGGTTAAACCTAAAATATTACGCTATGAAAAGTTAAATGAACTAACTTTATAGATAAATAAAATGACAATATACGCAATGTATGTTGCGAGATTTTCTACCTAGTTCGAAAGAATAAGGAAAAAAAGCAGTTTCCCAAGGTCGTTCATTTTTGTATCACTCGTTGGTCTACGACGTAATCCCGTGACATAATTTGCCGGCCGTGAGAGCTAAGTGAGCACGGGCAAAGCACATCGTGGACAAGCAGCCAAAGTCGACTTGAAATGCACTAGCAAACTCCACCGCGTCGGCCATGCGCAGCAAAAAATAGAATAGCAAAACCCTATACTAGGTCAGCACAAGACGAACTAGACCCGCTTAACGAGCACTTGGATTCTTTTACTGGCAAGCAAACCAAGGACCCTGTACCCTCCTTGGCGGTATATTGCAACATAGAAGTGTGCTGTATTTTTGAATTTTACTTTCGTAGGACATTCTCAGCACAGCGCTTACAAAGGTGCAGCGCGAAATATTTGACTTTTGTCAAGTATCTCAAGCAAATCAATTTTTGATTTCGGTTTTCCCCGTCTTCCGTCGTCCCCTTTTTCTGGTTTTTGCCTTGCGTCGTCCTTCTTTTTCCAGGGTCAGCCACTGGCTATTTTTCTGGTACTTTGTAACTTGCAATCCGTTTTGCACTATCTAGCTTCTATCTATGTATCTATCTATCTTTTATCTATCTTCTCACACCTAACTGTTTCTGTTGACTGCCCTGCTGGTAACGGCCGTCGAGTTTACGATTTTTTTCTTGTTTCACTCAGTCTTGAAAAGCGCCATGTCGGATTCACCGAATACCGGCGCTAATATGTTTTCGTGCACGTTGCTCAGCGAAGTAACGCCGTGTATGAGCTGCTCAAAGAAAATGACAGATGCGTCTCGGAGGATGCAACGACCAATACCATGGGAGCGGTACCGATCTGAGCTTTGAATAGTACACATTGCTCTTGACTAGCGACAGCATACTGTTCAATTACGCCATAGCCGTCAACCTGTGCGTCTTGATGGCACAGATGAGGCCTAGAGCAACATCGGACTGGGTAACCAGCAGATGTTGTCTTTCCTCATTGGAACATTGGAATGTAGAGAGCAGAAGGAAAAATCCTTTGTCAGCTCCATCGCCTCCCGTTCGTCACAGGGATCAAGGTGGACATTGCAAGTCGGTTCCAATGGAACCGCTGCATTGACACAAGAAGCAACAAGATCCGAGTTTACCCAACAGGTAAGAATCCAATTGCTGTTTGAAACATTCCTCCGACTGCGCATCAACGACACACACAGGTAGATTATTCCATTCGTTCACTACTCTGGTAGACAGAGTGACATCACAGCGGACCCGAAGTCTCCTTTGTTTAAACAATGTCCAATGGTGAGCCCGAGTCGAACTGAACGCATTGAGTGGAAAGAAATTCTGCAATACAACTCCAAGTTCCCCTCTACCGATACGTTGTGTGGAAATCAAATCCCCGCGATCTCGACGGCAGGCTAGGGAGAACAAGTTCAGGCACTGAAGACAATGCGAGTAAGGCAGGTTTCGTAATTCCAGAACTGATTTAGATTCTCTCCGCTGAACTTTTTCAATCAAGTTGCATTAAAATTTGGAAAGAGGATAAACAGCAGGCAGTCCACACTCAAGGATCGTACGTACAATAGAAGTGAACAGGAGCCTGAAGATCTCCGGAATCAAGCGAGAGAAGGATCGTCGTATGGCGAAGAACAACCTGTTGGCAGAAGCGACTTTCCTTAAGGTATCTTCGTTCGATTTTAGGTCTGGGGTCACAATGACGCCGAGGTGCATCTCACGATTAGAGTTCGGCAGCAAAAACCCACCGATATGATAAATTCCAAATGGTTCGGAGGCACCGATCGGAAGAATGGAATATTTATCCTAATTGACACCTGATCGACCACTCATGCAGCGAATCGAGCCTTGTTTGTAGTAAATCAGCTTCATCCAGACAGGAGACTGCCATCCATATATTTAAATCATGTGTATAAATCTAACAATCTGCCCGTAGTACAGATGCCAGATCATTAATAAAGACTTAAAAAGTTCAGGGCCAAGAACAGAGCCTTGCGGAACACCGCTGGTCATATTTACAGGGAAGGAAAAGACCTCAATTACTTGCACACGGAAAGCGCGGTCATTCAGGAAATCAGTGAGCCAAAAGAGGATTTTTCCTGAAACACCAATACTGCGAAGTTTGCTAAGCAAAATTTCGTGATGAACCTTGTCAAAAGCTTTACTAAAATCCACAAATACGACATCTAGCCGCCTGCCAGCATCCAGGGATTTAGCCCACTTTTCTCGAGCTACCAGAAGATTGGTGACACATGAACGCGAAAGACGAAACCCATGCTGCGCAGCTGAAATGATCTTGAGGTTCTGGCAGTGCAGGTTGAGAGCTCGCTTAAGAATCCCCTTCATAACCTTACAGACGACAGATGTTAGACAAATGGGTCGATAATTCGTAGGATCTTGCCAATTACCTATACCCGCTTTCCAGGCAAGCGGAAGACGCCCGGCCTCAAGTGAGCACCGAAATACTTGGCAGATAGGAACAGCGATATATTCGGCCACAGTCTTGAGGAAAAGAGGATGCAGTCCATCAGGTCCAGGGGAAGAGTTGGAATCCAACTCGCGCAAAAGTTTGTATACCGCAGTAACATTTATGTCCACATCGCTAAGAGCGGAGAGCAAGGATGAATATCAATCAACTGACGGCCCCCGTTGTATAGACCGATGCATAATGGCGAGCTAAAAGATTAGCTTTATCAACATTGTCGTGGAGCACGGTATTAAGATCGTGGGAATGCAAAGACAGTATTCCACTTCCGGCTCTGGTGCTCCTTTTCAAGTAGGAGAAAAGCCTCGCTTGACCGAAACCTGTAGTTACTTATGAAGATATGGGAGTCACAATCATTATCGGCTCATTGGAAGAAGTCGCGCAGCCAATCACACCACTTGTCGGTGAGAATCCGACTGAAATGACGATTACCGCATCGTTAGCCCCCGCTACCAGAATGCCCCTATCGAGGCCTCTGATGTCATACTAGAACATGTCCAAGCTGAGACCAAGCTTATGGCTCCTATGCCCGTTAAACGCAAATGGAAGAGGGCTAACGAAGTCTGTAAACCCACAGAAAGCCTGAATAGACTAAAATCATGAAGCCGTTGGGGGTGGAGCACAATGATCCGACCCAAACTACCCCGGCTCCTTTGGCGAACAGTCACATCGTGTCACCTGCCAAGCCGATCGAACCTGGTGCCGAGTCGAAGACTCGTGGAGTGAATACGCCTCGTCGAGCTGCTTCTTTTACAGGTAGCAGCGTTATCTTCCGCGGCAGCAGTCCCCACGGACCACATGCTAATGTACCTCCAGTGGTTCAAGCCCTGCGTCACTAAGACGCTTTTACCTGGTTTTTCTGAATTTTCTATCAGAAGCTAAGCAGAATGTGGAACGTCCTTGTCGATGGCCAAAGGTGCGACCCCATTCATTTCGCTTAGTCCACTTAACCCCCGAGGAACTCAAGGCGCTAATGCGCATTGCACTCAAAATCAAAGAGGACAATTTCGTCATTCAGCCGAACCGCCCACTGACAAAGCAATTGAAGTTATAGGTAGCCATCAACTGCTTTAAGAACAAGTCGGCGGCTGGTGAGCAAGGCAACCGTCGTGTAGATTTTCTGGTGGTCAGCCGGGGTTTACTTTCTGCCCTACTGATATTCTTTCTGTCCGGGAATACCCTCTCATATGGCTAAAATATTCCACTGAGTACCTTTTCAAGGTTTAGCTTACATTAGCTTCTGTTTCCTCCTTACTTTTGAGCAGCCTCCCAACAATCTCAGGTCCATAACCCAAAGCGTGTTTTCACGTTTGTCTGTCTCACGCGTATCCGCCTCCCTCCTACCTGACCATGCTGAATGTAGCCGTATGAGTCCGTTCCTCCTCATTTTAATCTCAAGACTCTTAGCATACAGCTCGCCAAAGCTTAGCACCATTTTAGCGTAACTTGTTCCTTCTTTTACTTTCTGGGGAACCAAGGACGACTTTGGCTTAAACATCTCATGGGTCTCATCCATTACTATACTTTACTTGCCTCCTCTCATGTTTCTGCTATTCACGTAAGGTTCCGCTTGCACAAAATTTTGGACGTCACTGCATGGGCTTGCTTCTTCCCTTATCAATCGGATTGTGACCCGGATAACAACCCTAAGCATACCACAGCTGTAACCTTCTGTGTCCCGTCTCTCACATTGCTGGCGGCTTGCTGATTATTTATGCATTGGCGCCGCAGCGTCCTCAGTGTTATTACAAATCAACCGCACTCTTCTTCGCATACATCCGCT